AAGCTGAGCAATAGAGCCTGTTTGAAAGGAGAGGTTAATTAGGTACCCCACCAAACATCCCCAACACACTCTTCTTTTTCAGGAATGGGAGAAGAATCATCCTCTTGTTATCTCAGTTATTCTCGTGATCTGTTCTTTAGAGTATTCCTATTTGTTCAAAAACAGGAAAACATACTTCAAGAGTATATTTTTCATTTTCATTTCCTGTAATGAAATATGATAGCAAAGGAAAGAAAAATGTAAGAAAAAAACCTGTTTCTCCTTTTTATTTGGTAATTAATGTAGTTAGGTAGTGAAGCTGAACAACTGGCAGTCTGACATTAAAGGAGATTTTGGCTAGCACAGATGACAGTAAGTTTTAAGTTTTTCTAAAAGTAATTTGGTACCAGACACTGTGGAACAAAACTTCACTAGTAATGCATTTGGACAGTTAGTCATTCACATCTGTTTAAAACCATATTTTAACCATAACACATAGTCTTAAATAGGTAACAATGCAATAATAAATAATAATAGAACAATAGAAAACATAGTACACTTCTCAAGCAGTATTTATTCCAATGTTATCTCAGGAAGTGAAGCCTGCTGTGGTTTTTTGGTGGGTTTTGTTTTGGTTTTATTCTTTGGGAATAATTTCTTTGGAAACTATTTCAGCTGTACTTTTCTAATGCAAAATCCTCTGAGAAAGCAGGCTGTGAATTTCAGTATTATGACATTCCTGCATTTGTTCCACTTTTTTTTTTCCATTTTTAATATCACCTAGACTTGGTGTATTTCTCTTTATTTTGGGGACATGGCTGGCTCTGTAGTTATTCCCTAATGCCTTACAAATAGTTGGTTGTACTTGTTAGTTTTTATCTGGGTGGTTCTTAGTGTTCCTGATAATTCAGGTGATTGTGCACTCAATAATAAATGGGAAGTCAAAATGAAAGGCACAGGCTGTCCTCAACTCAGGTTTCAGTTACATGAAATCTCTGTCGCTTACAAATAAAGTTGTAAATTCTTACAAAATCTTCAATAAAATGGAAGCCAGAGCCCAAAGCAAAACAAAACCAAAGCAACCAAAAAATCAGGTCTCTGCTGAGCCCTGTGGCCTGGCACAGGTGTAGTTCTGACATCATCTCCCACAGCCTTACATCTTGCTGGCTCGTGAGAATGCAAATAAATTGCAAGTCCTCTTGTTTCAGAGACTGAAACCATTGCTGATTGCCTTTTCTGTTTTTATATATGCCTTCTTTTCTGTTTTTGTTCCTTTGTTTTTTCTTAGCTTCTCTGCAGTTTTACCTTTAATCATCACCTAATTACACAAATGTTACAGAATTAAAAAAAACACTATTACTTATTTTGACCTATCTTGGTGTTTCCTGAAACTTCTAAGTACTGTCCCCCTCTTTCCTTTAGTCTGTGCACAAATAGTTTCTAATTGGAATGACTATTTAACAGCATATTGAATGTACAACGGCACTATCTTCATTGACCCGAATCTGGTCTTTTTATGAAGTTTAAAGAAGTTTTCATTTCGCTTGTTCAGTCATAACAAGCAGGTCTACCCTAAATGTTAGTGTGCTGCATTAGTTTTCTGATGGAAAATGCCTTTTGAGAGTTACACAGTTTAAAACGTTTTACCTCACCAGATAAACGTGCATATGATGAATTACAGAGACCAAGACAGTACTGGCAGCATCTTAAACCATGTTATCTCAAATGCTTGCCAATGTGGGCATTTGTGTTAGATTAGGAATCTGTGAAGGTGTAAGCTTTTGCTGAGTATGGTGAAGATGGTTTTGAACTGGGCACAGTGTCTGTTGAATGGCTTGTTATTTCCAAGACTGTAGCATAAGTAGCTCAAACTCTGTTCTATGTTTGGTTTAATTTACAGTGTTCCTGGGAACATAGTTGCTGGGAAAAGCCAGAGACCAAAGAACTCAGGAATCTTCTGCTTTCTGCATATTAATGCTAGCTGTGGCTCCACTTGCTCTCACTTTCTGTGGTCCTGTTCTTTGCTGTGCAGTTTCTGCAGTGAGTGAAAGGCAAGGCTGCTCAATGCACAGAGTTGCAAGCCTGAGGGTTACGTTATCATCTTCAGAGGTGTAGGATGGGATTGAGGCTGTGGTCACATAGCTGTTTTGCCAGGGAAGTACCTAAGCTACTTACTCATCTTTAGACTGTTTGAAAAGAGTCATGCTCATCTGTTGAAAGAATGAGCATAGGTACCTGACTCTAGGAGATGATTTGGGTTTTAGATGGCAGGCAGAAGTAAGCCCCTGAGCTACAGACAGCATCTAGGCTAAGGTAGGATTTAAGATCTGTGTCGACACTTGGGTATGTCTGAGTTGTTTCCAGCTTTGGCCAGGCACTCTGATTTGTCCTTCTGAGACTTAGCTTGTCCTACTGCCTAGGTAAGGAGCCTGTCTGTCTGCTGCAGAGCTCTGACTTTGCTTTGGGGACCAGTTTACCATCAGTTAGGAGTAGTAGTGCATGGCTTCCATTGGAGCCTTTTATTTCATCTAGCTTTTGGAACAGTGTCGGCAGGCTGGAATTTCAGGGAGCTGCCACGTAGAGACAGTAGATGTTTTGGGGCAATATGTTTCCTCATCCTTTTTCATCATCCTTATGCTTCTTAACTTTTAACTCCCAAAGACTGCCAGTAATTCACATCTCTCTGCTATGTTCAGCTAAAATGTGAGACCTGCTGAACATTGTCCAAATGATCATGTGTAAATCCTTGTTGTTGACAGCTTCATTGCAGCAGTCACTTTTTATTTTACTTCATCACTGGAGATTATGAATTGTTAGATGGCAACTGAGAATGGCAAGGCTAAAACCAGAACTGCAACCTTTCTTTCTACTTGAATTTGGTCTATAGGTGAATGCTACAAAAGGAAAAATAACTGGTTAGGTGTAATTTTGTGAAAACTTTTTTTTCTTTCTTTTTATTTTTTTTTTTTCATACTGGGCAATTAAAGGGAGAGGATCTGGTAAAACCAGTGATGTATTTCATAACTCCACCACATGTCACTTTTTGGATATTTAGACTCCAAATGAAAAAGTCAGCCCATTCCAGCATAGAGCCATGGGCTTTTCATATGAAGTAAAGGGGCATCTTATGACTAAGATGGATGGAGATAAGTATGTAAATAAGACTTTGCAGGGCTTGAAGTTTTGGTGATTTTTGTAAAGAGTTCTATGATGTTTGCCGTGTGTGTTCCCTCCATCCCAGCGCTCTTAAAATTGGTAAATCAGAACCAGCTTTTTTGGATGAAATACATAACTCTAGCATTGAGAGAACCTTCTATTTAAAATAGTAACTTCCAAGTCTGAGCTCCGATATTGTCCTGCACAAGAATTACTGAATTGCTGAATATGAACTGGCAGTGTGTCCAGGTGTCAAAGAAAGCCAAAAGCATCCTGGCTTACATCAGGAGTTTAGCCAGCAGGACCAGAGAAGTGATTTGCCCTCCATATTTGGCAGTGGTAAGGCTGCATCTCTAATACTGTGCTCAGTTTTAGGCCACTCACAAGAAGAATGACACTGAGGAGCTGGAGCATGTCCAGAGAAGGGTAACAAAGCTGATGAAGGGCCTAGAGAACAAGTCTTGTTGGAAGTGGGAACTGGGGTAGTTTAGCGTGGAGAAAAGAAGGCTCAGGGGAGATCTTACTGCACTCTACAGCTACTGAAAGGAGGTTGTAACATGGTGAGTGCTTGTCTTTTTTCCCAAGTAACAAGTGATAGGATAAGAAGAAATAGCCTCAAGTTGTGCCAGGGGAGGTTTAGATTGGATATTAAGAAATTCTTTTTCACCAAAAGGGTTGTCAAACATTGGAACAGGCTACCCCAGGAAGTGGTTCAGTCACCGGCCCGAGAGGTATTTAAAAGATGTGTAGTGTTGCTTGGGGGACATGGTTTAGTGGTGGACTTGGCAGTGCTGGGTTAATGTTTGGACTCTGATATTAAAGGACTTTTATGACCTAAATGATTTTGTGGATCTTTTCTTTCATAGTCTTTCACTAAAAAGAAACACTTGGATGAGGCTTTGAACAACCTGACCTAGTGGAAGGTGTCCCTGCCCATGGCAGGAGGATTGGAACGAGATGATCTTTAAGGTCCCTTCTAATCCAAACCATTCTATGATGCAACTTTTTTTTTTTTTCTTAAATTTGAAACTTTTGTGGGTTTTTTTTTGCATAGACAGACCTGGAAAATTTCAACCTAAAAAAGAATTGCTTTGCATTTGTGGATCTGGAGCATCACGGGGAGTAGTAGTCGTGCTCATAATGAATTTTGAAGATAGTCGTCATTCAGAAGATAGCAGTCATTCCAAGAAGTCTGCTATAGGTCCTTTGATTCAGCAAAACTTAGAAAGCTCATAAGAATTTGAAGCCAGATGGACTACTTGCTTAAGTAGTTTGTTAAACTGTGGCTGGTTTAACAATTAGTTTGACTCTGATTTCATTTTAATGATTCGAGTTAGAATAAAGCTTTGTCCCACAGAAACTTCCTTTTGTTTTACTTCTCGTTAATTAATGTCTTGGAACATAGTGAAAAGCTGATGAAACCTATGGATTACATAAATCTGTGAAGCTGGAAAAATCTTAGGTGGTTAGAATTAAGTCCAACTTAGCTGTGAGGCTTTTGGGAAATGGTATGATGTAAAAATGAAGTTTTAGAAAGAAAACCATGTACGTGTTACCAAAATCATAGGCATTAAGTAACTTAGTGAGCAGTGGCACTCAGGGAAGAATTTTGAAGCTAAGCGGTAGTGGTCAAGTTGTTCAGAGGGAAAGAGGAAAGTGCGCCTAAATTTCATGTCCATGATGTTACATTTAATGCAGTCAGAGGTTGTGACAAAAATATATCAAAATGTCTAGGAAATAAACCACTCTCCCCACCCCCCAAAAAAAAAACCCCAAAACAACCCAACAAAAAAACACTTCCCCCCCCCCAAAAAAAACAAAAACCAAGAACAACAACAACAAAACCCAAAAAACAACAACAAAAGAAAAAGATAGCCCAGGCAAAAGACATAATGGCTGAATAGCAAAACAGATACTATTGAAAAGGTCCTTTTAACAATCATTTTGTCGAATGGATCTTGCTACACAGGATTCCTGGTTTTCATCAGAATTTTGACTAGTACTTGCTCACTGAGGGGTATTTCCTGTTATTTCTCAGTGGTCATGCTCTGTCAAAATACGTCCATCTAATTGCCTACATTTGAACCCGGAAATATTTTATTCAGAAAATGCTATGGATCTTCAACCCCCTTATGGTATTTTAAACAGAAGTTCATCAGAACTGATAAAAAGTTTGTCTCTTAGACCAAACATTTCTGAAATAGCACAGGATTTTCCTTAAGCGGCAGTTGCATCTTTTCTTGGTTGCGTGATGAAAGAAATGCTGTTGTCTTGTTGTTAAAGTTTATAGATGTTTTTGTTGCCTGCTCCAGTTGCCTCAGATGTTCTTTTACCTTTTCCCCTTCCAGCCTGTATTACTGTAAGACCTTTATAGAAGTTTCTCTTCTTTTACAAGCTAGTTACATGGTTACCATTTAGTCACCCAAGTTTTCCACCAGCTCTGTTAATAAAGACATTTGGCCTACATGACACTTTGAAAACTTAGCATGTTTTTCTCTTCCAAGCAGTCACTTTACTGTGATTTTTTTATTTACACTGCATGTTAATCTCTCTCAAGCCTGTTTACTGAAATGTTCATTATTATCATCCTTTTCCTCCCCCTCTCATAAATTCTTTTTATGCTTCCACTTTGTCAGGCAGGACTTTTTTTCCCCCTCTTCTAGGCAGCATTATTTTCTGCTGGAGTATTAGTTGAAGGGCATTAGCTTTGATGACTTTGGTGGGGCATTCACAAAGGCTGTCTTTAGTCTTGTGGGAATACTGACTGTGTTTCCTGCCTGGCTAATGGAAAATGATTGGGGTTTCTAGGGCAATTCTGAATTTCGAAGTTAGGCTTTTTTTTCTTTTCTGAATTTCCCTCCAGAGAAAGCCACAGCTTTTGCAGATGGTGCCAGCTGCAGCATCCCTTCTGCTGCTCTTGCAATGCTTTAAGTAAAGGGCAGAAGCTCCTTTCTGATTCTTGTAGTTGCAGCAAGGCTGGATTTAATGGCAGCTGGTGAAGAGCTGCATCTCCCTGCCTATGGTGGCTGGATATATCAGGAGAGGAGAAGTAAGATGAATGATTGAGAATTATGCAGCCTTGTTAGGTTGCAGGTCCTGTTTATGTTGGCTTAAACTGTGTACACTTGATACAAAATACACCATACAAGTGTTGCAGTGCTTGAGTTGTTTCTGTTTTCAGTGACTGCTCCAAATCAGAGAACCCAAAGAGTTTAGCTGGTATTTTCTCAGGGTGCCCCTCATGTAACGGGGCTGCAAATACTTGGTGGCTGGTGTCATTGGCTTCATAATATAGTCATCAATTTTCATTATAGTTCTGAAATCTGTCCTGCTTTGCCATGTAGAAAACTATTTCTGTCTTACCTGAATTAAACAGACTTTTGAAGCTGGTATGTGGCTAAAATATTGTGTGGTGCTATTACAAACTTCTCCCTAATGAATTCATTTTAACTTGGGAAATTTTGTTCTTGTGGTATGTCTCCATCTTTGTTCTGGTTCTGGAAAAAGTTGAGACTTCTATGGAGACAAAGCTACCTTTGAGACCTTGGAAGCCTTACTCCTAAGAGTCTGCTTGATGTCTGCTTCCAGCCTATTATTAAATCAATAAATCTTGTTTGCTCCTAAGGATATACAGGATACTTCACACTGCATATATTTTGGCACTTCTAGAAGAAAATGGTGTCTCTGCTCTAAAACAGCTTTTTTGTAGAATAAGGGAGACACCAGATACATGAAGCCTTGGCTGTGTGCTCTTTTTCGTTCTCTTAATTAATTTATTTTCTCTTCCTCATCATATTGGCTTATTAGTCTACCTAATCTCATTTAGGAAGTTTACCTCAAATGTATATACTTCTGTATTTTACAAATGTAAGTTTGGAATTTAGCTGTAATGTTTCTGTTACTTATATCTCATGTAATTCATGTAGAAACCTGTATGGTTAACTTAATTGCATTAACAAATTTTAATGTGAATGGGTATTACGTTTGCAGTTCTTGACCTTGCTAATCTTTTACTGATTCCTCTCCCCCCACCCCCCTGCCCCCACATTTCTACATGTATTTTAATTTTCTTTTTTATGTTTTCCTTTTCTATGTTATTTTTTCTACACATACTGGGAGGGGATTGAGGGTGGAAGAAGTATGCGAAGACTTGCAGAGAATCATTACCTTGTGAGGCATAAAATGAAATCATTTATTTGATGCTTAACACTACACCTAGTATCTATGTTTGGAAGAAGAGCATCGGGAATTCCTTTAAAAAGTGACACAAAAGTAGGAAAGGATGTTAACAGACAGTGATTAATTACCTTATTGCAAAAGGGGAACTTTTTGTATTGCTTCTTAGTTTGAAATGAGTTGCTGTATGTTGAGAAGAAGGTAGAGACTGACAGAAGACTTTCCTGTCTTACTAAGCTGTGAGATCAGGAAATAACTAAATTTACCATGGGGAGTTTACCTAACTAACCACAACCTTTTACTAATATGTTCACTTTGTCCTTGCATACAAATTTTGAAATAAAAGTGCCAGTACTCATGTGTCACTGATGGGAAGTAAAAGGCAACATTTTGGTCATAATTGGTAGGAGGTGAGACTGACATTCACATGAATTTTCCCCAATTACAGAATGAGCACAAAATATTTCATAGAAATTAAATTACTATCTGTCATGATAACCTGGCATTTGGAAATCCTTGTGCTTTGCCACTCTTAATGCTTGGTCTTTAGAAGTTGTTTTCTTCAAATAGGAAATACATTATTTGTTTAAAATGTTATTTTTTTTCTTTAGATTTCAGTCTTCAGTTTTAGCACAGCCTTCAGAATCCTTTTTTCAAGGCCAGAAATATCCTCATGCTATCTTTTAAAACCTCCTGCATATCAAAGGACACTGCAATGTGCACAGCAATGATTCTGCTGTGTTCAGTATCTTGCAAAGACTTAAGGGGATGATGGAGAATCCATCACTTAGCCTGGTACTCTGTTCAAATAAATCGTCCTAACTGATAATTTATACAGACTTAAATCCCTAAGTCTCACTTGAAGACAATTTGGTTTTTATCCCTTAAATCACTTGGGCACTGTTTTTTAGCACCTTCTACATATAGTTCTAGTGTCTATGTATTCTAATATTGATCTCACCATACACAGAAAAAGGCAAGCTTGTTTCTGTTAGGTGTCCAGGGATTGCCCTAAACCTTTTTTTGCCATAACACTGCCTGCAAGGTGCATGTTAAGTGATTTTGTCAGTGATATAACACCTCCATGAAAGTAGCTGCCATCCAGGTTATGGTCCCAGGTTTCAGATGTGCACCAGCTTTCCCTGTTCTTAGGAGTATGACCTTGCATTTGCATTACAGTTTGCCTTGTGTTCTATGTGTATGCAGCTGAGAATTTGGGGAAGTACCAGGCCTGGCTGGAGATAAGTCTGCTTACATATTTGAGTTGTCTAGCACTCTTCTAGACTCAATTCTACTGTGTGAGCCTTAAGAGTAAGAACTGTCCTAAACTGGCTTCTCTAACTCCTTGCATTTTGTAATAATTTAAAAATGAGTCACCTACATGTCATTTAACATTACACTTTGCACTTGTCAAACTGTACTTTCCTCTTATGTAGGAAAAAACTAGAAAAATTTTACTTTTGTTTTTCTTTTCTACAAACTCTGGGAGCTCTTGGGAACTCCCCTGTTCTATTCCCAGCTTGCCCCTTCACAATCCAGTTCCATTTTTCTGTTAAGTTAGAATTTTTTTTTTTTTTTCTCCTTATGCTAGGGGACACCCATACAGGCTACTGTTGCTTTCTTCTGTGACCTTGACCACCTGCAGTCATGTATCTGGGGTGCCTTTGTTAAACGGTGCAGGTACTAACCTGGCTGGTTGACTGCAAAAGCTGGTTTATCTGGAGACTCTGAAGGGATGAGAGCTGCAGTGCTTGGCGTTCAGGCCCCATTTTGCCTCATAGCTTGCAGTTGTCAGATTCCTGACTGTGGGAGGGGGAGAGTTAAAATGCCTCTGACATTTCATGCCTTCTGTTCATATCTGATACATCAGCTACATTTTGGGATGCTGTCTTATGAAGTAACTCCATAGTGTCTGGCACCTTGTACTAAATCAAGGTTATGCTCTATATTTATAGAACAACTTTCTGGAGCCTTTCAAAGCCTGCTCATTGCTGCTTAGAAGTCATAGAATCATAGAATGGTTTGGATTGGAAGGGACCTTAAAGCTCATTCAGTTCCAACCCCCCTGCCATGGGCAAGGACACCTCCCACTAGAACAGGTTGCTCAAAGCTTCTTCCAGCCTGGCCTTGAACACGGCCAGGGATGGGACGTCTACAGCTTCTCTGGGCAGCCTGTTACAGTGTCCCACCACCCTCACAGTAAAGATTTTTCCCCTTATATATCTACCTTAAATCTACTCTTTTTCGGTTTAAAGCCATTCCCCCTTGTCATATCACTACATGCTCTTGCAAAAATCCCTCTCCAGATTACTTGTAGGCCCCCTTTAGATGCTGGGACACTACACTTAAAACTTTTTTTCAGCCTCTTACATGTTGCAATAATGATTGGCTTTGGAAGCCACCAAGTATTCCTGGTGTGTGGTGGTTGCCTGTAGCAAGTAATGCTCCCAGAAAAAAGGGCTGTAGAGCTTCAGCCTGAAGACCTTTTTCATACAAAAATGCATTTGGTATCCCTATCCAATATAAACTAAACTAGGGCTGCTCAGCTGCTGAAGTCTGTATGTGGCTTGACAGGATTCTTCATGTAACCCTTTCTCCCAGAGGCTTCTTCAGTGTAGACCATGGATTCAGAGATAGCTGATACCTGTTGCTGCTGCTGCTGTTTTCCCTGCAGCCCCTCTGTTGTCACTCTGTGTATTGCTCCTCAGGAAAACACTATGCCTGTGTATGGGTTGTCACCACCAGCATAATACAGTTTGTGTGGGTCCGTTTCTTACCTGTGTGTGAGTTGTTGCTGGGGATAACTGAAGCTTGCTTACGAGCAGTGTGAATTACCTAATGAATAATTGCCCATTTTCTGGCAGTTGTCTTCCCATCTCAGAGGGTCGATAAGGATACAGACTGTGTATATAATGTATGTTTGGGAAGTCTGATGCTTTGAAGGGAGCATCCAGGATTTGCACAGGCTGTGTTGTGCTCTTGTGAATTTGCACTGCTATGATGTACAGAGCCCCCATAGGCAAATAAAGGGTGATGCTGTTGGGGTCTCACAAGATGTGTGCAGGGCTGGGGCAGGAAGCATAACATTGTGGTATTTGACAGTGCCATGCTGTCACATCTCTTGAGTGTGGAGTGGAGTTTGGAGAGGCTGGGAGCATTGTCTGGGCTCCTCAGCTAGTCCAGTTTGTTAGGTGGCCATAGACTCTAGTTCTTGAGGAAGTGCTGAAAACTGGAGAATCAACTTATAGTGGGAATACTGGGACTCCTTTATTTGTCCCCCTGGGATATCAAGTTGCTTACCCTAGCAGACCATTTTTTGATGGGTAGGGGAGTTCACATCCCCCTGCCATGCTGCATTTGTGCTTTGGTTTTGCCCTTTGGGAAAAGGGAACAGAGTTGCAAAGCATGAAACTGATCTTGTCATTGGGAGCTGGGAAGGGACAAAGGCAAATGCACAGCAGGGGTCCATCATGCAAGGCATGTTCAGGAGGGATGGCCCAGAGTGACAGTAAGCAAGGCGCAAGTTCTTACAATCTGGTATGGCTTGGGACTGCAGAACTACTGTCATGGTATAACTGGTCGTTGTCTTTTAGTGTATAGTTTATTAGTGTGTATGCAGAAGGCCTGGTCAAATGTAACAGAGAAGGAGCAGTTAACTTTCTCAGCAACTGAAGGATGTGAAGATTTCCCAGCTGTAGATAAACTCAGTTTCTGGAGCAGAGGGCAGTGGAAAAAGATGATAACAAACAATGGAGTGAATACACATGATCAACTCCTGCAGTGTTAAATTGACCTAAAAATAAATGATGCAAACTTTGAGTTATGTTACTTTGAGTTTTTGAGACTTAAGTGTGCAAAATACTAGAATTCAGAATTACTGAGAGGAGATCCATCTTCAAACTATTAAGGCATCTGAAAGCATAAAACCACTGTCGAGAGTTGAACAGGTTGCTTCAGGTAAAATTCTGTAGAATATATTTAAAAATAGTGAACATGCTTATATTTTTCTGGAAAAATTACAAATTTGTGTCAGAGCTAAGTGTTTAAATTCATAGAAAGGGAAGGAATCACACTATTGTATACTTCATGAAAAACAGGGGAACAATGTAGATCTGGACTGCTATTCCCAATAGGGCTTTTCTTTTTTGTGTTCCCCAGTACATGCTAAAAATATTTTGAATATCTTAACATCTGCATTATTATGAAAAATGGCATGTCTTTGTTTTGTTTCCAGCTGTGTCATTCTTGCATTACATCTTGTTCCATTTGCTCTCTTCAGCTGGGATGCGAAGTCACTTTCTTTTGTCAGTTGTAGGCCTAATTGCTCTGTCTCTAGGACTGCACTGTGTACCACTTGGAAGAAGTTATTTCTTTTGTTCTGTCTCAACCCAAACTGTATGTTGGGGAATGTTAACTTACTTGGTTGTGGATGTGTCTTCAGTTTGGCAGACAGGGGCAGAAAATAGGGTAAAAATAAAGGGAGCTAAGCCTCTTTAAATATAGAAAACATAAGCTTGAAGAAAGACTGGGTATGTGAGTGTATTTTGCATACTACTATGTATTAGAACATCTAAACTTAAATGCACCAGGCAGTCCCATTGATTTCAATTGAAGGATGGATGAATGGATAAAGTAGACCCTCTCATGTTTGTCCAACACCCTGGCAGGCTCCTAAGGACCATGCAGCAGAGGAGGATGGGTAAGTGACGTTTGGTCACCATTCTGATTCATGTGTCAAGTATAAACAGCAAAACAGGCAAGAAAGAAATAGGGCCAGACTTGCTGTCAACACAAGAAAGGGAAATGTTGAGGCAGAGTGGTAAAGACGACAAGATGGCAGGGGAGGTCATTAGCTGTTAGATGCTGTTGCTTTCCAGTGCCCTGCCTGGAACACAAGATTCGTGGGTTCCTTTTTCTTGCCTAGTCTAGGGTACTGTAAAAGATGATGCCTATGCACCAGTTTCTTGATTGATTCAAGCAACAGAGCTGAGTGTTAATATTCTTACTCTTTCTCTCAGGCGTGCACTTGTGAATAGGTTGCCACAAAAAATGGAATCTGACTTCCTGGTTTGATCTATGATTATTTTTTTTCCTTCTAAAGTTGAAGAAACTTTGCATATATACAATGCACTTCAAAAGACACATTAAGGGGGCACCAGAACTCAAGGGTTGGCTGAAATCAAGGTTGCATGTGTTACTTAAATTCTGCTTCCTTGGATGTATATGTTTGTGCAAAATCTTCTAATAAACGGTAAGTATTGGGGTGGGTTTTGTTTTTTGGTTTGTTGGTGGTTTTTTTTTCCCAGAAGAAACACACCTGTGATGAAACAATGGTGTTTATGGGGTGAATCAGGGATAAGTAGCGAGTGAGAAGATCGCAGATATTCCTGAGATGGTTTGTTTGTGCAATGCTGTAGCAGACACTTGGCTGCCCTAGGCAACTTTCTCTTCCCAGGGGTTCCTGCCAGCTGCCTCTATCTTCAACTCCCCTCTTCTGGGCAACAGCAGTCATGGCAACAGCCTCTGGGACATAACATACATTCAGTGCCCTCTCTTAGAAAATCCCTAGGTAGGGGGTTCACTTTTTTTGTACCCTTGCAGTGAGCCAGCAGTGTGGCAGCAGTTCCTGGCTTCATACAAGCTTCCCGTGTACTTCAAAGGAGGTGCTAGGCTGTGCAGGCAGCCTTCATTTATCATTTTAAAGTAGCCAGCATCCCACTAATGGTGCATGTACTGTACTTTAGGAACATCTCATCTCTAAATTTCTTCTTGTCACAAGAGTGGGAAAGTGTGAATGACAAGGCACTGGACAAAGACAGAGGAGGGTCTCATGGTTAAGACATCAAATGTTATGAGAGTGAGCTGAATTTTGGCAGTGCTGCGTATACCACAAGAGTTCCTGCATAAAACTATCATTTTTTTGTGGCCAACTGCTCAAATGCTGGTGCATGTCTTGTTTTCTAGATTTCCAAATCAACTCCAGGAGCCACACAGTCATTCAAAGCCAGTTTTAGACAATTTGCTGTGAGAAGTTCAATAAAAGGCACAACCACTATTAAGGAGTAATAGGGAGTAAGACTTAACTAGTGAATGTATTATGTGAGACTAGAAGAATCGGACAGTCTGAGGTCTGAAATGGTCTTGTGCTTGAATTTGCAATTTCAGGTCAAACACAACTTACTGGGATTCCCCCCCCTTCCCCTGCTGCTCCCCCTTTTTTATATTCCCCAGAGAGTGGTGCACTTAAATCACTTAAATAGAACTGATTGAAGCAAAAAATGCAATAGATGTGTCAGTTAATCTATACCTCTTTTCTATATTAAGTTAGTTTTAAATAGCATTAAAGGCTCAATTTAGCGAAGCACTTAGTAAGGCATCTAACTGCATATTTGAATTGAGGCCAGGATTGATAAACTTGGATACTGTGTGAGAATGCATTCTAATAGGAACACTGCATCCACAATGGTTAATGTGTATGTTCCAAACAAGGCTGTGTCTTCGTTCTGCTTAGATTTGGGGTTGCAAGTTTCAAAGCTGGTTTATTTGTGGTTTTGTTTCATGTTTTCAGTAAGAATGGACTACAAAAGAAATTTTCTAAATAATCGATTTACAAGCAAAGAATACTCTCTAATTTCCCCAAATACCTGCTATCTGTCACAGAGCTCATTCCTGTTTTGATTCTTTTAGCAGTTTAATTTTTCCAATGCTTCTTGGGTCATTTGCTGTGCCTGTACAAGATCCAGTTAAAGCAGATTTTTGGAAAGAAGCTTCAGAGACTTCAGAAAACTGGAAAGGAAAAAAAAGCCTTCTTAATTTCCACCAACCATTTCTCATTCTTAGTTTATGGGGAAGCATTTAAATTGTCTGAAAGGTAACTGTAATGGGGCCTTTTACAATTAAAACTAAGACACTATTTTCTAGTTGTAAAAAAAAAAAAAAAAAAAAAGGCAAAAATATTAAAAATAAGACTTTCATGACTTCCAAAAGATAGACCTGTGCACAGTTACCCTCTTGAAAGAAAGGATAAATTTTAAGGTCTCTAAAACACAGGAAGGAAGAACAAGAGAGGGAAACTTCATGCAAGGAATAAAGAGTGTAATTAAGACCTACCTATAGAAGAGACAGAAGAAGATGGTGCCTAAAATATTAAAAGTTTTGAAGTTTTGCTAAACTCATGCCAACTTAAACTGCTGTAAACAGAAACAAAATTAAAAGATACTTTATTTTCACATGACTTTCAAGTATTAAAGTTTTTTAATTATTTTATTTTTATAATTATATTTTTAGATTCCTGCAAAAGTTTTCGAAGTTATTTCTTGTGACTGGGGAAAGAGCACCTTGGCCAAGTGTTATTATTTTAAAATCTTGAAATCCTTCGTAAGTGTACAGAAATTAATTTATTTTAAAAGTGTATTTTCATTACCCTTGTGGACTGAGTTACAATTTTAAAATTGAAAATTAATCTCAGTGGCTCTATCTCCTTAAAGTCTCTGTGTAAATCAAATGAAGAATCATCAAAATGCCATGCTTTTCTAAATGAGGATGGTGACTTCTAAGCGAATAGTGTCTTTAGGATATAAAAAAACTGAACCAAAATGTGTACATTGACAATATAATAGCTATTACAGCAAGGAAGAATATTTTGATTATTTTAGAATAAAATGTAATTGCACTTTTGTTAATAGACCAGTGAGGTCAGGACATTCGGAAAATCTTTGATAGGAGTGAATAGGTTTCCCACTGTATTCTCATAAAACAAAACAAATCCAGTAATGTTTGGTTTTCATGATGCATTTGATCAACATGTTAAAAAATATAATTTTAATCAGAATTTAATAAATCTATTACCTCCTTCATTTATGGAAACAGAAAATGAAGTTATTTCCTTTTTCACTTATAATTTGTGATCCTCAGCTGAAGAATTCCGTCTGGAAATCCTCTCACAAATTTAGCATAACAGCTGATAAAGTACAAAATAGTAATTTACTGTACAGTGATAGGGCACTTTGCTTTAGTATAACAACCTTGATTTTGAGGCTCCGTGGGGTCAAAATTGCCACTTCTTTTCTGTATTTCTGTTAATCTTTTAGTAATCATAGTTAAATCACAGGAAATATTAATTTCATATTCTCACCTTTTTCTTTAGAAAGAAAGCCTAAATAAATTTTATTACAACTACTTATAAATAAATGTCTCTGCTAGGAAAAGTACCAAAATAACAAAGTATAACTTCCTTTTGTCTCTTTTTAGATGTTATTGTAAATGTAATTATATCACTTTATTTCTTTTCCGTTTCAAAAATCTAGACTCTTATTTTATCTTCTATGTGCATAAAGACCTAATTCCTTTTATTAAAAACAAGCAGGCAACAATGATGTAAAGTTTTGGGTTTTAGTTGTTTGGGTTTTTTTGTGTTGTTTTTTATGTTTGTTTTTTGTTTTGGCTTTTTTGTTTGGTGGTTTTTTGTTTTTTTTTTTTTTCAGCAGGAATGTCATCCTATATTGGCCCATCTGGTTGGGGTATATTCTCCTAGTGTGCAGCCCCAGCTGGCTCAGAGTTGTGGAGGAATTGCATATGTACACAAATGTGATTATGTCCATAAATGAGAAGATGCTTTAAACCACCAACACTTAAAACAGTCAGCACAGAAAAGTCATCTGTAATCTTCCTTCTCCTTTCTGGAATAAAAATTCTAGAATATTTTTTTTTCACTACTGTTTTCTTTTGTAGCAGACTTAAAAAAGCTAGGTAGCCAATAATGGTCTAGTGAGCTCTCCTCTCCTCTCCTCTCCTCTCCTCTCCTCTCCTCTCCTCTCCTC